GACTTGTGGTATGGCGTGCCACACGCGCCATACACCTCATGTGCACACACATGACCCCCACACGTCTGTTTAACCGTGAGGGTCATCTTTGATACCATTCTGTAACGCTTTAGCCATAGTCATCGGTTCTAGATCATCATGCCTGGCTACCACCTAGGATCTAAATTGGACCCATATACCAACATTGGTCTTTCCTGCTCACCTTTTCCTCATTCGTGCACAATTACAAGCAATTTCTGACCACGCTTAACATGGAGGTTCTTAGGAGGCAAGCCACCGGAAAAGATGGTGCACCTTACTTATATGAGTAGTCTATCATTCTATTAAGCCGGGATGCCACATATCTTGACTTGCATATTGGTGTTCCAGACATGAATGAGATTGTCTTTGCATATTGGCCTTCTTCAGGCGGATCTAGGGAATGTCGACAAACTGAACCCAGACCACATGTGGGTAAGACCTAGCTCGTACCTCAAAACCTAGTGGAGGAAGAGCCACCGGCGGCGGTAGGGGGAATGGGGCGGCGACAGGTGAAGAGGCATGGGTGGGTGTCGACGGTAGGTCTAGGGCACATGTGTGTGGGTCCTTTGGGTGCAGGTTGGTATGTCAGGGAAGAGGGGTTGGATGAGTCAAATAAAAAAAATCAAGAATACGCACAAGTGTGTGTATCATCTATTAAAGAGAGAATGGGCTAGAAAGCCATTTCAAACTCCACACAAGGATTACCAACGTGTCAAGGACGCGCTCACCAACATGGTGTTGGTATGAAGTACTCCCTCCGTAAACTAATATAAGAGCGTTTAGAATACTAAAATAGTGATCTAAACGCTCTTATATTAGTTTACAGAGGGAGTATTACATAACAAGATGCCCACTCAACGCATCTAGAAAGGATACACACAGATTGTCCCTGAGGAGGCCGACAGATACCCAAGCAGTCCCCTCATTTTTCATGTCGGAGATCGTCTTCATGGCCGAGGGGGTTGCACCATCGAGTACCGCAACATTGCAGTGTTTCTAGATCTCTCAGAAAACCATTGTTACGATGGATCTGATATTGCATCATTCTGTCTGAGGTGCAACTTTGGAAGTACACCAATTGAGTAAGTTGTCATTAGTCGTAGGTTTCCAATCGGACTTGCCCCAAGCGGATAGGGTAGCATACTAGCATGCCATACCTGGTCATGACACATGTGATGAGTAAGTGATTGATGGTCTCTTGTTCCTGATCGTATATTGGGCACAAAGCTTGGTGTGGTAGTCCACAACGCGCAAATCTGTCGGAGGTCCAATAGCGATTTCGCGTGGCTAACCAGGTTCGTGGGCAGAAGTGGTACCCGTCATGGAATTCACATGAAAAGTCACGTGCTCGGCTACCTGCGGAATTCACATGGAAGTCAGCTGTGGAAGACTTGACCTTCATTTCACGCAAAAAAAGAAAGAAGAAGACTTGACCTTCATCAAGCCCTTCCACAATGGTGAGTCAGTAGGCTTCACATCAACTTGCGATATCGTTTTCGAATGCAGGTATTTGTTGTGCAATAATTTGTGCCAAACACCTTCCTCATTGAGTATCTTATGAAGTCATTTGTTGAGTAAACACTTGTTTCTGATTTCAAGGTTTTTAATGCCTAAGCCTGCATTGACATTCAACAAGTAGATGGTTCATTATCTTGTGATACTATGATGTGATTGCTTTCCAGACTGTTTTTATTTGACAATTACACGGAAAAAAAATGTTGATTTACTACTACTCTGTTTTCAAATCCCTGCATTAGTAGTTTTTACATGCATTATTCGATCGTGTGCAAACATTGCACTGCTGCTTTGACTTGTAAATTTCACTTGTCAAAATTTCAGGCATATGTTTTGATTCACCGTGAAAACAGAGTGTACAACAAAAACACATCAAACCTACAATTTGTTCACTACGGTCAGCTAAATTCTTCTTGCTATTTGCTCCAACAAGTTGCTATAATCCTACTGACTCTGTTTACATTTGGAATATCTTTTTTTTTTAGAAATTCTGATTTTATGGTTTCATTTGGAGCGACAACCATATGATACCAGGGGCTAAGATTGGATGCACAACCACATTGGTCCTCCACACAGTACAGAATCAAAAGTGTTTCTAAGTTTCACCAAATCTACTCCTCCAGGTTAAGTCGCTGACAACACAAAACGGAAATTAACCAAAATTATAGTGTCAATTTTGCTGCTAGTCGCTCCATTACATTACAGTCCATGGGGGTGTTGTAACCTCAGACTGTTTTCCTCGGCTATCAAGGGTCTCTCCAGGCAAACGGCCAGCTACCAAAACGGTGAACCATGGATGATAGATCAGCGCCTCTTCTTGCCAGACTTTGAGCCGGCAGATTTCGATGGGCTCGCGACCAGGTAGATGAACCCCAGAACGAAGGAAACAACGGACACCAGTGCTCCATACTTCGCAACAAGTTTCTGCACATGGACAGTCTCTTAGAATCTCACACCAGGGAATATCATGGCAGCTTATTTCGATGGAGAAGAAATGAAATGAAATTACCTTAGCCTGAACAGCACATGAGAGCAAATCCAGAGATATCCAGAGCAAGGGTATCAGCCCCACAAAATAGCATGGAAAAAATTAGAATCACCAAGAAGATATTACCAGAATGAAAATGCACATGATCACTTACCCATTCAAACTTCTTCACTGGAGGTCTTTCAGCAAGAATGTCCAGGGGGAGGATGGGAGTTGAGTAGGCCTCCTACAGCGTACAAAATTATGAGTTTAGCAGGAGGCGTTGACACTGGTGAATTAATGAGCAAACAAGGCGATCTCGCAAACAAGCGAATGTATATCATTTGAGACACTAGTGAATAATATACGGAACGGGTAGAGGATCATACCTGAAGTGCAGCCTTTGTGGCAACACGGTACTTGATAACAGCAGGTGAAGCTTGGAACCTGCCCTGTGTTTTGCTCTCCAATACAAACGCGTGCGAAGCAGTGGCACCACTAAAAGTGCAAATGATAAAAGTTCAGTTTACTATAACACCATAATGGAGTGGAGTCACCAAAAGCAGAGAGATGCATTACAAAATGGAAATGCACTCACGGTTCAAGCCTTTCCAAAGTCTTTGAGACCTCTCCAGAGACAAGTTCAAATGCTTCCTTTGGCCACGAGTCATCATTAATGGCCACATCATATGCAGTTCTGCACAAAAATAACAATACCTTATTAGACTATGCAAAATACATGGATACTCACTGGCCATCATATTATACAAATAGGTAAGTTGAACAAGAAAAAGGAATCAAACTTTTGTCCATGGAAATAGGATGTGCACTTTGAGGAGCAAACAAGATATTGCAATAACTCAGTTTTGAGAACATCAAGGAAACCCATCTGGTAAGTTTTAAAACTTTACTGTACATGATGCAAACATCTAACAAGCTAGAACCAATCTATCTGGAAAAGTGCTTGGCACATATACTAGTTCTAACCAGCAAGAGCAGTAAAACCATGAGATTACAACATACATCAAAATAAGAAGGATAAGCTTCTATTCTAGTCTAGGTAATCAAACGAGAACATTTTATGACATCTCATACTGATGACTATTAAACACCACATAGATGCTTCAACTTTCCCAAGTGTAAACCCTGGTGTTACTATTGACAGATTTGCTCAATAACAATGGGACGCCTGAAGCTCTTGTAAAAGCTCACAAATTGGCTGCGGCTACTCTACCTTGCTAGCTGGTTGCCTAGACAAATTAAATCAGGCGCGTGGTCAAGCAACAAAACGACGGATCGGGTCACCATTTTGTACGGATAATAATCTATAAACGCTAGATCTAGCAGTTACTAGTCAGGATCCACGAGATGGTGCCGGAATTCCACCGCCGAATTGTGAACTGAAGGAGCTAAAACCACAATTAACTGAGCCGATCCCCTCGGCTGCCGGCCAAGGCCGCCGCAGATCCCGTCGATCTGGCGGAGAGAGCAGGCCCCATCGCCGTCGCGAAGTGAGGAGGAACACAGGATAGCAGGCAGGTAGGATGGGACGTCGGAGTACTCACGCGGATCCCTGGTTGTAGAGGTCGAGGGAGACGGCGAGGCGCTCGACGCCGGGCTTGGGGCGGGAGAGGGCCACCTTCTTGTGCGCGACGAGGAAGGGCGCGTCGGCGGCGAAGGTGCAGGAGAGGGCGGCGAGGAGGACGGCGGCGCAGAGGAGGAGCGAGCGGGTCGTCGCCATGGTGGTGGACCTGGCTAGGGTTCCGGCGGATCGGATCGGATCGGATCTCGTGCCTCTCGCCCAGCTGGATGGAAGAAGAAGACGACTCTGGGTATGGTATGGACTGGGACGGATGGGCTCTGCATACTAGTAGCCCAGCCCAGGGGTGGTGCCTGGCAAGTGAGGCTGCACATGGGACCCGCCGTACACAAACAAACAAAAGTGCATGTATGGATAAAACTGAACTTTTCTTTTTGCAATTGTTTGTTGGTACTGTAGCTTATAATGCTTGTAATAGTATTTTTTTAGTTGCTTTTAATATTATTATCTTAGTTTCTTTTATTTATTTTTTTAGGAATGCCATTTTGGCGAGCTTTAGTAGTTACATAACACTTACATTCACCAATTACATAGCAACGATAAAACTCAGTGGTTCATCGACCCAAACATCTGATTGAGGATCACACACCTTAGCTAGAGTATGAACTAGTAACCCTAAGGCAGAAACCATAAGGTACTTTCGTGAAAAAGAAGCTCGTATGCAAGTGTCGTCAGAGATTGGAGCATTCACAGTTTGCCAAAAATCCATTGTCCTTCAAAGTATTTGATTGATGACCTCCTTGCAATCCAATCGAATGGATAGCCTTTGGCAATCCATCGACAAGATAGGGACCATCGAGCACTGACGAAGTTTTCCATGATGGTTGCAATGTTCAAAGCCAGCTCCGGTATGTGTTTGCTAACAACAATAAATTTGCCCCAGTCATCTCGGATTACGTCTCTCGCCCCGCTACCGCTATCCGGATCAAATCTAACATCCATATTTGGGGTGACAAAGCCCTCCGTTACTTCGATCCATTTGCTCTTTCTTTTTTTTTATATGTGGCTCTCACAAAATTCGCTACTAAGCACCTAGATAGAGAATAGAGATAACCACATATGGTATGAACTAAACTTTTTCACCATCAACTCTTTGTCACCTCATTGGTCAAGTGCACCATACATAGTGAGGATAACTTCTCGCAGGTAGATGGTCTCACAACCGGTCTTGATAAATTACATGTAATCAAGAATTTCATTGTTAGTACAATTGCACTTCTCTCAGACCAATGTCCCCTCCAGATCTCCCAGGCTTCCACGCATTGAAACCATGCAAAACACTTACACGCTGAAATTTTGATATTCGCTTGAAGTCTGCATAGCTCATCCCATTTGAACTCAAGTTTGCCGCCCCTGATTCTTCCTACCGACTTAAACGATTCCTACTCCATATGATACGTACAGCGAACACAGAACACACCCTTCTTGACTAAACGCCATGTGACAAAGCCCGCCATACTATTCAGGCTCGTGAAAATGTGGTGCACATTAATAGGCCAAAATATCGACCGCAACAACTATTCATCGCAGCCTCCGGTCACAGGATCATTCAACTGATCAGTTGTTCATATCTGTATCTGACCTTTTGGTGTTAATACTTTGCCAGTAGGGCTTTATGGGATCTAATAATACATACCCCCTCTGTCCGGAAATACTTGTCTTCAAAATGAATAAGAAGGGATGTATCTAGATGTATTTTAGTTCGAGATGCATCTCTTTTTATCCATTTTGATGACAGGTATTTTTGGACGGAGGGAGTATTTTGGTATTATCTCTGTTTAGGAGTATTGTGGTTGTTGATCATTTTTTCTACCCCCTTCGTTCTTTTTTATCAGACGTTGCAGACAGCTGACATTGAACTATTTTGGACGCTGTCTGAAATGTCTACAACGTCTTATAAAAGTGAACAGAGGGAGTACAAAAGATCAAACTATACATCATTAATTTGAGTTCACACAAAATTTATAAATCTTCTTTTCTGAGACGGGCCCTTCGTTATCGATTGGCATAATCTGCTCCTCCCGATCACGTCACATGGGAATGTGCCATCCATTGCGGACTAGACTACTAAAAACGCCTCCATTCCCTTCCCGTAGCTGCTAGCTAAGCGCTCTACGACTACGAGCCTGTTAACACAATTGTCAACGCCATGGCGCGCCAATGCCTCTTCCTCCTCCTCGTCGCCGTGACTGTGATGGCGTTCGGGGTGGCCGGCGCCTCCAAGGACGTCACGGGGGGCTACCTCCTGTACGACTGCGACCCGGATCCACGGCGGCCCGCCAAAGGCACCGCGTTCGGCGCCAGCCTGAGGCCGCTCCTCGCCGCCCTCCCGTCAGCCGCTGCGCCGACGGGCTTCGCCTTCCTCCATTCCGGCAGGGCCGGCCGGAGCAACGGCACGGCGTTCGCCCGAGGCCTCTGCTTCGGCGAGTCCCCGGCACGGGGGGACTGCCGCGAGTGCCTGGCCACCGCGGTCGAGAGGATCGGCTTCTGCGACGGCAGCCGGCGCGCGGCCTTCTGGAACGACGGCTGCTTCCTGGCCTACTCCGACACCAACGCCTCCGTCTCCGCGCCCGCCGACGAGCGGCGCTGGATGAGCTTCCTGACCCACGACCCCGTCGTCTACCCCAGGTTCTATGACGCGGAGACGCTGGTGGGCCTGGCGCGGTCCCTGCTGCCCCGCGCGGCGGCGAACGGCTCGGGGGTGCCGGGGCGCATGCTGGCCGCGGCGAGCGCCGCCCTCCGGGCGAACGGCACCGTCCGCGCGGTGGCGCAGTGCGCCCCGTGGAACGTCACGGCGGCGGAGTGCGCCCTGTGCCTGGCGAAGTCGGTGCGGGACGTGCCCGGCCCCGGCGGCCTGTTCGGCGTGTTCGAGGGCGTCCGGTCTGGCGTGGCCTCGGTGCACCGGTACGACTGCAACCTGCGGTTCGAGATATCCGCTCCGGTGAGGCCCGTGGGGAAAGGAGCGAGGATCCGTGAGTTCGTCACATTTTCTCTCTTGCAAATTACTTCCTGATGTCAAAAACGTTTTAGAGGCTTGTTTTTCTGAACCGATGTATATAGACGCGTTTTAGTGTGGTTATTCACTCAGGGATCACATTCTCGAGAATGGATCGACTACTACACTTTCTGACTCCTCGTTGATCATGTATAGTGGAGTACAATGCAAGTTCTTACAAGTAGCTTTGATGATTGTAATGGTCATAATGTTAGGCAGCATTAGGGGGAGTGTTGAGAATCAATTAAACATGATCTATTTGGGATTAAACCCTGCACATGGCAACCACAACGTCAGTTGCTACTTTCACACGTTCCTTTCTCTGGTTTGTGTTTCGGAACTACTCCTCCGGGGACTTGTATAGATAGGTGTGCGTCATGGACATAAACATTATGCCGCGCAAAAGAAAAGATACAAAGAAATAATTTTCCTTTTTTCCCCTGAAGAAGTTCAAAAGAACTGTAAGATTTGAGTGGACTAGGACAAAAGATAATTTTGACAGGCCAAATCCGCTGTTATTTTGACAGCAGTGATCTAAACACTCTTATATTTCTTTCCGGAGGGGGTAGGAAATAAGTGGCATGAGTACAACAAGTTACA